CCAGGGAAATTTCGTCTATTTATTTACATGTTCTTCACACATTCACATATTACGAAATGTACATAAATATGTATGTATATGTATATGTATATGCATATATGTATATATATATATGTACAAAAAAGTATTGATCGAACTCGTAAAATCCCCTAATTTCATCCCAAAGCTTGATGTTTTGAGCCTAAGTCGCGCGATTGAATATGATGTTTCTCCACATTAGACGCCGCATATCTGTAATATAAGTATAATCGTTTTGAGCACTTGGGTCTATCGTTTTTGCATGGAGTCCGCCAATTTGACTGTCAAGCAGCATTTTGTTAGTTTTCTTTAATACCCATACGTATCTTGGGCCACTGACAATAAGTATTGATATAGCTGACGCACCCCTTATTTGCAATCCCGGGAAAACTTTCGACTTTTTATTCAAATTCCACATGTTGTTTTATGTTTTGATGTAGCTATTCCATTGATTATGCGATTAACTGAGCTCATGTTTACATCGAATCACTTGCAAAAGTCCAGAATTGAGTCGTTCGATTGATGAGCCTCACCAATGAGTTGCCTCTCGGGTTCAACTGTATACTAAACCCACTTGAATGTTTCACTCGGTTTGGGCACGGTGACATTATCAAACACCGATTTAAAGAGCCGCACACCTCAAAATCGAATTCTGAAAGTTAACTTTCATATTCCCTTAAATGTTTTGTTACTTCCCTCAGGATCATGAATTTCACGTCACTATGTTGTGCAACATAATTTTTGATTTTACTTAGCGTAAAAATTTCAATAATCGACATTTTATTACTGTGCACCAATTGAACAGGGAAAACTGTTTAGAATACATGTATTGAACAGGGTAAACACCAACAACAAACGAAAATCAACAAACGAAAAGTATTTATTGGAAAAAATGATTTTCCATGCAATTATGCATAAAATAATTTTCAATCCTCAGCAGTAACTTTCGAACTCGGACTAATTTTATGTCGTGACACTTAATGTCTCACAACCTCAAACGGTGATAGAGGAGAACCAAGAACATTGCAGTGAGAGATGAAGTTTGGAATGGTAAACGCTCTTCACTTACAGCCCTCAACATACATGTAAGTTGTTGGAAACGGAAATGTATTTTTTGTGGTGCTCCCAGTCTGCGAGATGACGCATAGCCTGCAGCGACATGTTACAGTTTTAAAACAATTACGATCAACCAAGCTTCCCGGGTGAAGTCAGCAAAGCATGTGTGCCACAGCTTTTGGATTACATACCATAGGTCGATTATACCAACCAATCAGAAACCAGGTGGCACAGACAGAAGCTGAGCAATGCCAGAAATACTAGTACGCGATTGGCAGAGGCCCGGATGACCAACGAGTTTGTTTTGCACATATTATCCAATCCCCTTTATTTCTTTCAATAAACGAACTACTACTCCTATGGCCTTTTCTTCCCGTCTCGGTTACGTGGTTACGTGCGTGCAAGTGCCAGTGTGATCCCGAGCTTACATCTGGTCCGTGGTTGCTAATCCGTGATTCGTATTCCGTTATTCATATTTCGTGTTCAGTGAGTATTACAAATGCTACAATTACTACAATTTTTCAAATGAAAGTCACCTCGCTCGAGTTTGATCAGTGCCCATGCATGCACAGCGTATGCACCTGCATGTTCTGTTGTTATGACACTCACAACCGCTCTAGGCGCTTCGGTTTGCCCATTACACCATAGCAAATACGTCCTGTTTCATTTGGCTGCTGGATTTGGGGTATTTTGGAAGTGTATTAGCTCACACAAAACAGCTGGGTACACAGACAAAATCGTAAACTCCTTGACACAGTTCCCTGTAACTAAACTGCACTAAGTTCAATGTGATAACGGCGCTGGCTATTTCACCGAGTTAGTTTCATACTTCAATCGATTTGTCGATCGAATCATCATCTCTTGGATATTTAACTAGCTTTTCCATGAACGTGTTTCTTTTAGCTGTTTGGTTACTTCATATGT